CCAATGTTACGATCATTTTATGCTTGATATGTGGCAGAAGAAACTGAGAAAATGATTGATCAACATTTTCCATTTTTTGAATTTTTGGATCAACCTTCAAACTGTAAAATAAGATAATTTCTGAGCGTTTGGACTCAAGTCTTGGACTCTCTCTTGTCTATACTGTGAGCATTTTCGAATGTCTTTCTTCCGTCCAGCAAATCATTGGGAATCAATCGATTAATTGATGATGATCAGAGATTTATTTTTGGCACGATTTTTCACTTTTTGTTGGATCTTTTGACGAATCATTGACTTTTTTTTAATAAATGTCGCCCCAGTTGATAAATTGGTGGAAGCATTTGAAATGTATTTACTGTATTTGTGCGTATAAAAGCCGAAGAGATCAAGGAAATGTGATTGAAATGATCGCAAAATCTGAGAAAAATGCCGAGAAATGTTGCTTATGCCATTTTTAGGTTCTTTTGTGAAGTGAAGCATTTGGTTCGAGTTTAAAACTTTGGGTAGGTTCAGATTTTTCGACTGCAGCGGTTTTTTGAAGCATTTTCGATACCACATTTGTATTAGTTAGGGAAAACATGTACTTCTGCAACTTTCATGTCTAAATCCTGTTCTGTTGTGCCATTCACTCATTCAGCGCTTTTACTTTAATAACCATGCAAATTTTTTAAATGAACATTTGTGAACAGTTTTTTCGTACTTGGAGAACATCTCCTGCGAAAATAAAATCGAAGCTACACTTCATTGTATTTCGTATGATTCAATTTTAAGTGAGGCTTTTTCAAGATAAAAAAAAAAATTATTGCAGCGACCTTGAAGATGAAGAATTTGAGGCAAGATTCACGTTGCAGCGGCATCAATTGTTCATGTATTTTTGTTACGTTGTTGATGCCTCCAAAATTTACCAGATTTGAGTGGTATCTTCTACTTGAGTGATTGATTGATAAACAAACTTTATTTTCCGCTTTTCAGTATTCACATGGTTTTAACAAGTTTCCTGCATCCAAACCCCTCCCCTCCCCACCCTCATTCATCCAAACATATTACATAAGATCAGGATGAAGATGGATAAATAAGCTGTTTATGGGTATCAAAGAAAAAGAAAATAAATATCAGAATGTACAAGTGTACAAAAGTGCAAAATTACAGGTAAACCTGCAACATCTAACCAACTGTAATCATACAAATCTTGAAAATCTCTCAAGAATTTTGACCATGATGCATAGGTTTGGCTCTGCACCCTGTTTTTCAAATATGGTTTACCCATGATTTACAAGAAAATTTTAGGACATTTGTATAATTCCAAACATGATGCCCAGGTGTGGCTGGGCACCCCCAGCTTGTTAAAGAAAAAGAAAATGAATATCAGAATGTACAAATGTACAACTGATGTGCAGTACTGTATATGCATACACTTTGTTCCCCTCACTAGATTACAAAAAGAAAATATCTGTAATAACAAGTATATCATAATGCAATTAATGAGCAGAAATGAAAGCACAAGGTGTTCAGCCTGCTTCTAGAGGAGTTTTAGTTGATCAAACAATTTGGAGAGGATCTTTGTGCTAGAGAAATTGTGTAAAGTTAACAGTTTATCTTGGTCATCCAAGATTTTGGAAAGAGACTTTTCATAAAATTTTAAAGAGTCCCGAATCTTTTTGAAGCTCATTTTTCCATCTGTGGAATGCTGGGCATAAGAAAAGAAGGCGCTGTGGTGATGCATTAACCAATGTGTTTATACTGCAGGTACTGTAGGGCAACAAGCCCACAAAGAATTCAAATAAATAGAAGAATTAAATAAATCAGTAAAAATGCACAATTTGCAGGGAAACACGGCAGGAAGATTCTCAGTAGAATCTTCAAAGAGAAGAGAAATCTATATTTCGTTTTTAGGAAATATTTATCGAGAACAACTGTATGATAAGAGGCAAAATAAGGAACAAAAATTGGGAATTCAAAGCAAACAGCACACAACAAAATTCTCAAGCAAGACCAAATGCCACAAGAGTTTTTAACATTATGGTAAATCAGTCATTGCAAAAAAGACAAGACTTTTGATTGCACAATTTGCGGCTGCAGGAGCTTCCAAGGAATTTCCCACTGCTGCATTCCAATTGTTTGGGTTTTACACTTGATTGTAATTGCACGTATTTTACTCGTTTTTTGGGACGTGCCCTCTGTGCCCCACAGGTATTACACCACTTGGACACCCTTGAAAATTGAATATTTTTTTTATTAAAAAGCCGCAACTTCGCCAATAAAGAGCTATGGTATCATGTGCCAAAAATATGTTAGATGACACACTTAAGTAATGGTTTAGTTTTACCACAAGCAAGATCATACAAATTGCTTCTTCTACTTTACAGTATAGATGGTACCTTGCAATTTTACCTCATGCAATCTGATGGTCAAATTTGCGGGGAGGTTGATTTGCATTTTGACCCTTGACCTGCTTTGACCACTTTATTTTTATATTTTACTGATATTTTTGAATTTCACAGCGTCTCACAATAAGTCAACCCCTTTGGAATTTGATCCTCTTTTGGCAACTGATTAGGGTCAAATTGCAAGGGACAACCTGTTGAATAGTTGCCCCTGCACAACAAACTAAAATTGTGCAACAGTCTAGTCTGTTGTGTGAAAATTCCATTATTGGAAAATTACAATTTTTACTTTTTACGAATGATTTCAAACCCATCAAAAGTCTGTTATGCAGATTTAGTCGGTTGCGCAGGAGGGAAAACCGCCCTCAGACGCGGTATCTTTTGCAAAAAATATGTTGTGCGGGAGGTCCATTGTGTGTGTGGGGGGGGGGGGGCGACTGTACTTATTTGGGCCGATTAATATTTTTTTTTCGATTGATTCGCAGACGTACTTTAATCAAAATGCCTTGACGCTGATCCGATCCCTCATCACTGGCGGGGCGACGCCGGAACTGGAGCTGATCCTGGCGGAAGGCGCCGGATTGCGAGGCGGCTACAGGCAAGTACTCTACTGTATATTCTCGCCGCAAAAAAAAAAGAAAAAAAAAAGAAGAAGGATGTGGATTCAATCACCGGCATGATGCAGACATTTCTTCTCTTCTATTCCTGGCATATTTTCCTATGGAATATATGTATTTATTTATTTTTTTCTTTCTGGTCCCTGCCTTTTTCGACAAACAGCACGCCAGACAGTCTGCAGAACCGAGACCGGTGTCGCGTCGGGATGATTTCCTTGCACGACGGCCCGTTGTCCAATTTCGGGACAGGTGGCGGGAAATACGGGGAATTGTTCGTCACGGCCCTGAGAACCTACGGCATGCTGTGCATCGGGCTCTACCGGTCAGCTTTCCTTGATATTCTTTTAATTATTTTTACGTTTTTTTTTTTTTTTTTTTTCATACGACGAAAAAGTAGAATGGAATCGGAAGAAAAATCTGTGAGCAAAGTCTGGTTTAATTTTTGGCGAGAGCCAATTAAGGACTTTAGACCAGTGTTTCCCCAACCTTTTTTGGACCCACGGACTGGCAAATTTTCATCAAATTTTCTGCGAGACCGGCATATTTCCGTAAAATTTTCTGAGAACCAGTGGCATTCCATAAGATTTTTTCAGGATGATAGTAAAACCTTTTAAATACTGTAAGCCGCATAAAGTCCTTCAAACAGTATTTTTATTTCAAAAATTTATCCAAGAACTATGGAAGCAGCCATCAAAAAATAAAGACAGCTGGGCATTAATAAATGGTTTCCCAGTAAGAGAACTGGAAATAATTCATTTCAGCAGGTTAAAAGTGTCATGGGTCCATTGGATCCCAGACAAAGGAATTGAATTGTTCAGCCGTCAGAATGCAAGTTTTTAATAAGAACTCAAACTCTTTTCAGAGGAGTTTATTCTCATTGCCCAGATCATCAATTGGATGTTAATTGAATGGTTGTAATGGCAGATTCAATTGTAAGATTGGTTGGTTAGCTCAGAATAATGAATGATGTAATTAAAGTTAAAAGGCCCTTCAACGGTAGGTTCTCACTTCTCCGCCCAAAGAGGAATGAAGGTTTTTATATCCAGGTGCTTGGACTGGGTCTGGAAGAAATCAGATGATTTCTTCCTGGCTTATGAGTGGCCAATTTCAGGAAAATCAAAGAAGTGATGACCACTTGAGTAAGGCTCAGTGAGTCTGCAGAAACAGGCTTTTTTCAAGGTTCACTGGCCTCAGAAATGCAGAAAGTTTTCTTGTCCAGTTTGTAGTGGGCTGCTAGAGCTGTACTGCTTTGGGATGCTACAAAAAGTATTCATGAGTGCTGTTGAGGGAAAAACAAATTCTTATTTTAATCAGATAATTTCAACTGCCATTGTCTTTCCAAACCATCATATAGCATCAATAACAGACTTCATTACAACTTCTGATGCATTTAAATTATTATGCTGAAAATTGTCCCGGGGGGGTTGGGGAACACTGCTTTGGACAAAAAGTGAAAATTTACCTTTGTTGAAAAGATTTAGTTTTGGTCACTCTAGGTCTGTATATTTTTGTCTATAAACTGTATCCTAAAATCATGAAAATTGCATGTTAATGAATGGAAGAAAAATTAATGCCTTTTATCTCAAAAAATTTAAATGAAATCTGAACCTAAATTCTTATAGGTCTTAGAATGAAGCAATTGAAATTCCAGAAATTCAGTAAATGATGAAAAACATTTGAGTCTCAGGTTGGATGAAAATGGTACATTTTACAGTTTAAAAACCTTTTTCTTTAATGAAATCAGTCAAAAACATGTCCACGTTTTTTTGAGAATGCTCATATTCAAGTTTAATTTCAATATGAATGGAAAGTTACAAAATTGCGAGGACTTCTTCTGTATATAGTGACTTGGCCAAAATTTGACATTTTCTTCTTCTCCTAAAGTTGAGTTTAAAAGATTCCAAACCAAACAAATTGCAAGAAAATCCCTTTTTGAATTGACTTTCAAATTGGTAAAAGTTTATTTTTAGCCACAGTAACAATAAAATCATTTGGTTCAAAATTGGCACATTTTTGTCTAAAAATAGTATGCGTTATCCAAAGAATGCTCATTTTACAATAAAGTGAGACCCCAAGATGCTGAAATAATTTGTGCATCAAGAGTGTCCCTAAGTCAAGTCTCATTTTCACCTAGACTTATATTATATAATTTTTAATTGGTGTTTTATGGACAAAATACTAACCATATTTCCATGAAAATAAATATTGTCTCACAATTGGGACTGATTCAATCAGTGTATTTCAACACAATATGGACATTTGGGGAATTGAACACTGATGCCTCTGAACAGTAAATAGAAATGTTGGCATTCTCTGGGAAAAATAAAATTCAAGTGAAAAAGAGAGAAGGAAGTCCATTGATACTGCAGGTAATTTTTCTAAATCAGCTAAATGTATGGGATTTTGGTGAAAGAAATGCCCAAGAACTTTTCTTCCATAAATTTTAGGGTTGGAAATATCTGTTTCTTGCAATTTGGCCTGAAACTCATTTGCAATTACATCACAAAATGTCTCTATATCAAGTCAGTCTTCTCATGTTGGGCCTTTTTTTTATCAATTTGTTTTTTTGCAAAATAAGTGTCCATATGTCAAATTGTCCACAGGTTGAGGTGTCCACATGTGGGGGGTCTCACTGCATACGTTTTTCTTCCTCCAGAAAATATTTCTGAGAGTGTTAATGATGACAGATGGACTGAAAAAAATTTTTTCAAGCGTGTTTCTATAAACTGTATTCCTTTTTATGAATTTCTAGGATTCTGAGTCTGGGACCGCCTCCAGATCCCGGGGATCCAAGGTGAGCTAATCTTTGCGCTCTAAAATAATGAATAATTTCGCTAGAATCTCTGCCTTCCACTCGAAAGTATTTTCACAATGATGACATATGTCAAAGAGGACAAAGAGAGTGATTTTGTTTCTTGAATTTTTCAGGAGTCTGACGCCGGATGCTTCTTCCAAACGCTACGTCATCACGAACCCGCCCGACGACTTCTCCCTTCTGCCGACCGACAGGGTAAATAATCAATGACGATCAATCATTCATGTCTCCTAGGTTTCTCTCCATGTTCCTCATGGAGAAGAAGTCACGAGAAAGAAAAAACAACGTAAACATCCCGTGATGCTGCAGAATTTATATTATCATAGTGTGAGGGGCCTGAAAGAAAAAAACAGATTTTTCTGCGTCACAGTGACAAATGAAATCCGGGAAACTTGAATATGCTNATGATAGTAAAACCTTTTAAATACTGTAAGCCGCATAAAGTCCTTCAAACAGTATTTTTATTTCAAAAATGTATCCAAGAACTATGGAAGCAGCCATCAAAAAATAAAGACAGCTGGGCATTAATAAATGGTTTCCCAGTAAGAGAACTGGAAATAATTCATTTCAGCAGGTTAAAAGTGTCATGGGTCCATTGGATCCCAGACAAAGGAATTGAATTGTTCAGCCGTCAGAATGCAAGTTTTTAATAAGAACTCAAACTCTTTTCAGAGGAGTTTATTCTCATTGCCCAGATCATCAATTGGATGTTAATTGAATGGTTGTAATGGCAGATTCAATTGTAAGATTGGTTGGTTAGCTCAGAATAATGAATGATGTAATTAAAGTTAAAAGGCCCTTCAACGCTAGGTTCTCACTTCTCCACCCAAAGAGGAATGAAGGTTTTTATATCCAGGTGCTTGGACTGAGTCTGGAAGAAATCAGGTGATTTCTTCCTGGCTTATGAGTGGCCAATTTCAGGAAAATCAAAGAAGTGATGACCACTTGAGTAAGGCTCAGTGAGTCTGCAGAAACAGGCTTTTTGCAAGGTTCACTGGCCTCAGAAATGCAGAAAGTTTTCTTGTCCAGTTTGTAGTGGGCTGCTAGAGCTGTGCTGCTTTGGGATGCTACAAAAAGTATTCATGAGTGCTGTTGAGGGAAAAACAAATTCTTATTTTAATCAGATAATTTCAACTGCCATTGTCTTTCCAAACCATCATATAACATCAATAACAGACTTCATTACAACTTCTGATGCATTTAATGTATTATGCTGAAAATTGTCCCGGGGGGGTTGGGGAACACTGCTTTGGACAAAAATAGAAAATTTACCTTTGTTGAAAAGATTTAGTTTTGGCCACCGTAGGTCTGTATATTTTTTGTCTATAAACTCTCTGTTCAAATCATGAAAATTGCATATTAATGAATGGAAGAAAAATTAATACCTTTTTTCTCAAGGAATTTCAATGAAATCTGAACCTGAATTCTTATGGGTCTTGAATATCAAGCAGTAGAAATGCCAAAATTTCAGTATATGATAAAAGACCTGTGTCTCAGGCTGGATGAAAATGGTACATTTTACAGCTTCAAAAGCTTTTTCATGAATGAAATCAGTCAAAAACATGTCCACATTTTTTTTAGAACAGTCATATTCAAGTTTAATTTCAATGAGAATGCAAAGTTACAAGATTGCAAGGACTTTTTCTGTACAGCAACTTGGCCAAAATTTGACGCTTTCTTCTTCTCCTAAAGTTGAGTTTAAAAGATTCCAAACAGAACAAATTGTAAGAAAATCTCTTTTTGAATTGAAATGGTATGGTATTACTTTTCAAATTTGTGAAAGTTTATTTTTAGCCATGGTAACAAAATCATTTGCGGGTTCAAAATTGACACATTTTTGTCTGAAAATAATATGCGTGATCCAAAGAATGCTCATTTTACAAAAAAAGTGAGACCCCAAGATGCTAACATAATTTGTGCATCAAGATTGCTTTCCCTAAGTCAAGTCTCATTTTCCCTTAGACTTACATTATATAATTTTTAATTGGTGCTGTATGGACAAAATACTCACCATATTTCCATGAGAATAAGTGTTGTCTCCCAATTGAAACTGTTTCAATCAATATATATCTCAACACAATATGGACATTTGGGGGATTGAATACTGATACCTCTGTACTGTACATAGGAATGTTGGCATTCTCTGTAAAAATAACATTCAAGTGAAAAAAGAGAAGGAAGTCTCTCTATGCTGGAGGTAATTTTTCTACATTAGCCAAATGGATGAGAAATTGGTGAAAGAAATGCCCTAGAACTCTTCTTACATCAGCTCTAGGGTTGTAAATATCTGTGTCTTGCAATTTGGCCTGAAACTAATTTGCAATTTTATCACAATTCCCCTATTTCAAGTCAGTCTCCTCATGTTGGGCCTTTTTTATTAATTTTTTTATGGCAAAATAAGTGTCCCCATGTCAAATTGTCCACAGGTTGAGGTGTCCACATGTGAGGGTCTCACTACATACATTTTTCTTCCTCCAGAAAATATTTTGGAGAGTGTAAATGATGACAGATGGACTGAATACAATTTTTCAAGCGTGTTTCTATAAACTGTATTCCTCTTTATGAATTTCTAGGATTCTGAGTCTGGGACCGCCTCCAGATCCCGGGGATCCAAGGTGAGCTAATCTTTGCGCTCTAAAATAATGAATAATTTAGCTAGAATCTGTGCCTTCCACTCGAAAGTATTTTCAAAATTATGACATGTCAAAGACGACGAAGAGAGTGATTTTGTTTCTTGAATTTTTCAGGAGTCTGACGCCGGATGCTTCTTCCAAACGCTACGTCATCACGAACCCGCCTGACGACTTCTCCCTTCTGCCGACCGACAGGGTAAATAATCAATGACGATCAATCATTCATGTCTCCTAGGTTTCTCTCCATGTTCCTCATGGAGAAGAAGCCACGAGAAAGAAAAAAACAACGTAAACATCCCGTGATGCTGCAGAATTTATATTATCATAGTGTGAGGGGCCTGAAAGAAAAAAACAGATTTTTCTGCGTCACAGTGACAAATGAAATCCGGGAAACTTGAATATGCTTGACGAAGATGCAATTTCATGTTGAGCAGAAATTTCGAAACCTATCTAGAGAAATCCGATTGCACCATTGTATTTGGAGGGGAAAAACGCTTCAAAAAAAATTTCTCAAATAAAGCCGTCAACGTGATTCGACGCCTCTATAAAATAATTGGGTTTAGATTTTACATCGAGTAAAAATCGTTTGTACTCATGCATGGAATTATTGGTGATTACAAAGTAACTCTGTGCCGGTAACTGCTGAGCAGATTTTTAATTTTGGAACAGAAAAAATTCAAACTTAATTATTTACACTAAAAACTTATTTACTGAAGTTTTCTAGCCCCCTTGCAGGAATTATATTTGGCTGAAATTTTTTTTTAATAACATATCTCGGATTTGTTGCTTGATTTTCCAAGTTTTCCAAATTCCGAATGGTAAGATCAATATTTTCTTGATTCAGTGAATATATTTTCAATTCATTAAGAACCTTTGGAGTATTGAATAGTGTACCTCTTTACAGTACTGTATATTGAAATGTTGGCATCTGTAAAAATAACATTCAAGTCACGAAGTGAGAAAGGAAGTCCTTCTATACTATACGTATTTTTTTAATTAGCAAAATGGATGGGAAAATGATGGGAGAAATACCAAAGAATTTTTCTTGCAAAGATCTCAGGATTGGAAGTATCTGTTTCTTGCAATTAATCCGAAAAAAGTCAGTTTTCCTGAAACATATTGGCAATTTTATCATGAAATGTCCTCATGCTGAGTCAATGTCAGTATGTTGGGCCTGCTTAATGCCTTTTTTATTGAAAAGTAAATGTTCCTATGTTGAATTATCTACATATGTCAAGGTGTCTGTAAGTGGGTGTCTCAATTTATTTTCATTCTTCTTTCCATTCCCTCCATGCTATGGGTAATTTTTTTAAATTAGATGAATAGGTGGGAAAATGATGGGAGAAATACCCAAAAAATTTTCATGCATAGATCTCAAGATTGGAAATACAGTAGAATCTTGTTCCAACAAATACCATTACAACAAAGTTTTCAGTATAACAAACTGTTTTTCAAGTCCTGGCAGAAATCCCATAGGGTATATGTTATAAAAATCTCATTACAACAAACTGCCAATTCCAGTATAACCAACTTTTGTGAGGAAAATTCTCTGATTTCTTGATGAAAAATTTATAATGGAGGCAGGCACAGTCTCACATTTCCCATTTCAAATGCGACTGGTGCCTGGTCTTCGGAACATAAGGAGGAATCAAGCACAAAATTCTTCAAAGTTCACCTGAAAATCCTGTCTTTCAAAGAGTATTCCCATGTTAGGAATGCTAATGGTGGGAGGGGGTGTTTGATCAGCATGGAAAAAAATGAGCCCAGCAATACTCATGTTAAAAAGGGTTTCCAGAAATGCCTGTGATGTAAATTGTTTTAGCAATTTTGACACATTCACCCTTACAAATCTTTGCAGGAATTGCTTTCAAAAACTTGGAGTCAAGAAAGTGTGCCAGTATTTACCTGTTATTCAGAGTATCTGCTTTTTTATTTTTAACAATTACATTTCTTTTGAAGATCACAGTTTTTTAACCACTGAAAAACATCTGAAAAGGCCACAAAAGGAATATGTTGAATATATGCAGGTCTAATTTGAAGAAAATCTTCCAATCAGTCAATAATTTTCAAAATCTCATTATAAAAAATTATTCAGAACACCAAACTTTTTCTGAAGTCCGCACAAGTTTGTTGTAACATGATTTTACTGTTTCTGTTTTTTAAAATTAATTCTAATAAAAATCAGTTTTCCTGAAACTTATTAGCAATTTTATCCTGAAATTTCTGCATGTCAAGTCATGTTGGGCCATAATGCCTTTTTTTTTTTTAAGTAAATGTTCCTGTGTGTTGAATTGTCTGCATGTCAAAAGGTGTCTATATTCGGGGTCTCAATGTACTTTTATTCTTCTTTCCATTCCAAAAAAACAAACAAAAAACAAACAAAGGTGTACGTGTTGCAGCAGTTCGACCACGGGATCGAGTACAAGCCAGCCCGGGGCAAACCCAGTGACTCGGGGCTCCTGCACTGCAGCGCCATGACGGACGGGCCATACTCGTTCATCTGACTCGGCCCCTTTTACCTGGCCCACATGGCCCACCCTCTCGTGATCACGGCCTCTCGTTATACTTCCTTCCTTCCTCTCATCGCAAACAAGCAAAAGCAAGCAAGAGATCGAGTTACACGACTTTTTTTCTTGTCGCGTGCCAATTTTCTGCTCTTCTTTATTATATCCCGGGAAGCGCGAGCCCCTGGGAAGGACGCCTTCTTCTTAGCTGCAAAGCACTTCAAGAACCAATAGTCTTCGTGTCTTATACATTTTCATTTCTTTTTTCTCCTTCCGTCACTGCAATTAATCAAGAGCAAGGAAAAACAAGGCAAACACCAACACACTCTCAATTTTATCGAGGCTCTTCTCCACACACAGTTTTTTCCGCCTGAGAAATCTCGAGAGGAAACAGAAACAAATATATATATATATCTATCTATAAAACAAACAAAAATCTATATATATATTTATTTCAAGCTTGTTTTCCTGTGGAACACGCGGATCGATCGCATCTTTTCCTCTTTGAAAAAAAAAATGGGTGACTCAGGCGAAAAACTCTCGGTTTTTTTTATAAATTGGTTCTTGAATGTGGGGTAAATAAATGAGCAGAAAAAAACGGAAGACGAAGAGGAAAAGGAAAAAAAATAAAAGGGAAATTGGGGAGAAGATCGTACTCAGTGACGTGTGGCCTTATGGTATGTTTCGAGTCCTTCACGAAAAAAGAAAAACAAAGAAAAAAAAAGTTGTGTGCACAACATGATCGGTATTACGGCGTTTTGCGGATATTTACGTGGTGCTCCTTTTATTTCTCCCCTCCCCCCCCCCCCAAGAGATTTTCCTTCCATCTTTTTTTTTTAATTTTCATTTTTATTCAAAGAAGCTGGAAAGTGGTCGATAAATGGGTTGGATTAAATCCCTGCCTTTTCTAATTTATCTCTGGTTTTTTACATGATGTTCAAAATCCTTTTTTTTGTTTTTATTTAAATAAGTCCAGAGATTTGGAGAAAGGAAAATGAGAATTGGGTAAATTTCGGAGATCCCCTCTTGAAGAAGCCCTTGAGAAAAAGGACATCCAGAAAGTTTCTGTTGAAAAAAATGCTGAGGTTTCTTTTTGTGTAAAGAAAAACGAATACACTCATGGAATTCAAGGCGAACCACGTGTGGATTATAACATACAAGTTATACCATACTATATTTACTCAAATATCACAGAAACTGCAAAATACCCTCTGATGCGCATCCAATTTTTTGAAAATTTGAGAAATTGGAAAAAAGATGAGCTTCTGTAAGAAATTCAAATGAAACAATTATTTTTTCCTCTCAACAATGATTCTGAGTCAAGGTTTATTTAGAGGAGGAAGCTAAAGAGCATACAATATTATAATTTGAAAATTTTAGTGAAATTTGTTTCGATTTGGATAACTTAATTCATTATATTTTTCAGAGCTTTGAAGTTGATTCAGTAATGAAAGAAAATATTTTCCTGAAACTTGGGGTGCATGAGTTTGGCAAAAAAATTCAATTTTTCAAATTTCTTTTCAAAAACATTGGTGCAACTCTTGAATGAAATTATTTGGTACTTGTGTTATTAGGTTAATACAGGGGACATCTGTGTTTTTTTTGCAAAAGTAAAAGAGTACAATTTACTTTTCCATTGCTGTGCTTTTACATTATTTTTAAGCAACAACAATACAAAAATTTACCAAAATCATGTACCAAAGACCCTCAAGAAAAAGATGATATAGTGTCATTTCTGCAGACACCATTTCAGGAAGAATGTTTTGTTTTGGATCACAGATGTCTCAATTTTCTTGTATACAGTACGTGCTTTTAGAAAGAAATAAGGAGGAAATTTAGAAACTTGAATTATAATTCATAAGGAATGTTCATGAAACAATTGAATTGAATTTATGCGTCCAAGATTTTTTGAAATTTTTTTTTCATCACAAAGCACCCTAAATATGCTTATTCTGACTCGTTCAGAAAAAAACAACTATAGCGGAACAAAGCTTTAATATTTTCTTTAAAATTAATATTTCATGGGGATTGAGTTTCGAAATTGCATGTGGTTGCAACAAGTTTTTTTTTTTAGTTTCAATGAGGTTTCGCTTGTGCAGAACTTGTGGAAACTTGGTAAAAATTAAGCCTAATAGCTCTGAAACCATGGAAATGAAATGGTGAATTCAAAAAAAAAAAAACGTTCTGTTTAAAGTTAAATCCAAATGCGTTAATATACTGTACTACATTATTAAGCGTTGCTTCCTTATTTTGAATCCTTTTTTTCTGATATCCTGTACATTCCAGAAAACATACATTGTACTGTTTACCGTACTTACTTTCTCCGTCATCAACTTTTCAAGCGTAATTACTGCCGATATAATCGATTTCCAGCTTCCATCACGGCCAGTACTCAATTAAAACAGAGCCTGTTTTCAATAAGTTCCACGGACGCTTTCTGGATGCCCTCCTCCCAACCCCCAATTTCTCAGTCACGCCATTGGCCAAAGATGGACGTGGTCAGGCGCATATCCGAAGCAGGGGGCGGGGGTTTAAGACCTGGGCGGGGCCTGCGCCTGACGACGAAAGGGGGTTGGTGCAGAAAGAGAGAGGAAGAAGAAATGGGGGGGAGGAGGGGGTTACTGATCCCGATCAATGTACCAATTCCACCGCCGAAATTCGCTTTAAAGACGTTTTTCAAAAGCGCTGTGATTGCCCGATGAACCTTTCAAAGGGAGCCCGGATGCGAATATACCGGCGCCCCGCGGCACACGAATTATAGCCGACGGAAAAAAAAGAAAGAAGAAGAAAAGAAATTGCATCGGATATTTCCTTTCTTTCGTTTTTAAATGCGCAGGAAAAAGAAAAGAAAACCATTTCGAGAAAGGGTTTAAAGAAGAAGAAGAAGAAAAAAAAAGGGAGAAAGATTAGGGAAAACGAAATTGAGAGGCAAAGGAACGAAAAAAAGAAATACTGTAACGCGATTTTTTTGTTTGTTGGATTCGCGGAGGTTTTCTTTTTGGAGCCATGATTGAGATTTCACTGCTGCTTTTTTTTTGTTTTTGCTTGTTGCGGTTCACTGATTGCACTCTTGAGTTTGTTTTTTAATTCGGTATGTTTTTGCTTCCATTTTCACTTTCCTGATGTGGACACGAAATGGAGGCTTCGCGTTATATAGGCATTATGTACCGCAGGTTTGACTCCTCCCAATATTGCTTGCGTGCGGATTTTCTTTCTTATTTTCCACAGTTTTCTTCTTCACGGGGCGGATTTGCCAGAAGCTTCGGATACTTCACAAGAGAATTGAAATAAAGTTTGAGAAAATTGTCTGATCAATTTTCGTATTGCTTTATTTTCCATGCATGACTTTGTCTGGATAATAAACCAGACATGATAATTATAAATCCCCAGACTCGCCTGGAATTGATTCTGTAATTCTATTCGCGTACTAATTACGTGACAGATTTCAAACTCACTTTTTAGCAAATAAACTTACATTTGTTGATCAAATTAAATGAACGAAATACAGTAAAATCTCGTTACAACAAATACCGTTACAACAAATTTTTCAATACAACAAACTTTTTTTCAAGTCCCGGCAGAAAGCCTATAGACTACATGTTAAATAAATATCATTATAACAAACTTGGGAATTCCATTATAACAAACTTTTTTGATGCAATTGTTTTGGTTTTTTGTGGAAAATTTTGGAAAAATTACTTGAAATTTGCTTGTGTTATTCAGAGGCCTCTATTGAGGCCTCTTTTGATTCAAAATGTTTCAAAATCTCTATAGGATCCACCCAGGAGAGAGTTTTCCACCCTTCCATGAAACCCCTTCCCAGAACACAGCAAAAATTGCATGTAGAATTGTTTGGACCCCTGAAGGTTAATCCAAACATTCTGTTTCCCATGAACTTGCAGGAGAGGCAGTCAAATACAAAAAACTTCAATACAGTAGAAGAACTGCCCCAACAGCAATGACTTCCCTGGGATACAATTTTTAAAATTTCAAGGATCAAAACATGAACCCAGAAGTCCACAGAATCTATCCAAACATCCAACCCAGGAGCAGTTATAAAGAATAAAAATAAAGATGCACACCCAAAAGAGTAAAAACTTTTCATGTCCCATGCATTGTGAAAGAGGTTCCAGTACAACTTTGGACAGTGACTGTTCAACACAAATTTTGTGAACACAGGAATTTTTTTAAATTTTAAATTCTGGATAATGTGGAATGCTAAGAATTGTATGAAAAGAATTGATGGTAAAATTGAGGATAAAAAATTTGGCCACAAAAATTAATTTTAATGTTAAATTGCTTGTGTTTCCCACTTCAGTGCATTTTTTCATTGCTTATTTTTTCTTTTCCTGTGTCTCTACACAGCAATGCATGGCAGTTCTATGTACAGGGTTACAAAAATCAGTCAAATTTCTCTAACAAAATGTTTGCCTTGCCTCTTTATTGTGCAAAAATGTGTCAATTTTCTTCTAGAAAATGAACAATCATGAAAAAAACAATTCAAGCAAAAATATGCAATCATTTAGCTTGAATTCATGGTGCTGTCACCCTGCAGTCATGGCAAAAATCCTTTCATATTGTTTTTAAAAATGATTTTTTGGCAGTCCACAGAATGGGGAATGAAAAACTGCAAAAAAGAAAATGCCAACAATAAACTCTTAATAAGAAGCTAAGTATTTTTACTGCAGTTGATGGCACAAAAAAAAGAAGGTGGTGGGAAGTGAATTTGGAATTATGAATGGCAACTTTGTCAACAATTTCAAAAAAATTGTCAAAAATTAAATTGTGTGACTTCTACATTGGACCTCATTGCAAGCAAATGTGGACTGCTACTCATGAAGACCTGGACAAGAATGTTGTTGCATGGTTTCAAGAAGTGCCATCTAGCAACATTCCTATAAATTGACCCCTAATTCAAGAGAAAGCCATGTACTGTAGTTGGCACTTTCCTTTGACCACAAATCATTTCTAGCTAGTGTTGCTGGGTGGCTTAATTGTTT